GAGGGATTAGTCTATGCAGTTGCGCGCAGAGGATAAGATATCTAGTTTAATACCGTAAAAATATGACTATTTGCATGAACTATGGTTTTTCAAGTTTGTTTTTCCCCCCTACTTTTTTGTGATTTTTATTTGGCTGCAGGAAGAGATTGTTTTTGTCTAATGCCAACTGGAGGTGGCAAGTCAATGTGTTATCAAATACCTGCATTGGCAAAAACAGGAATCGTGCTTGTAGTTTGTCCTTTAATAGGTGAGTATAATTTTTCTTATTACTAGAGTTTGTATCTTTGATTTAGATCAATGATGTTTGATGATTCACTCGTTTGCATGCGAGGATACTGGTTCTGATTTCTTCTTCTTCTTTTGTTCTGCTGAGTGCTGGCAGCCTTAATGGTATGCATTTTTTTTTCACTTTATCAGTTTATTGTTTTTTTTTTTCAATGTTGAATTTCTGAGTTCAGAGTCTGTTTTGGTTCTTATGGTTCTTTTTCCCTACAAGTTAGGAAAACCAAGTAATGGCGCTAAAGGAGAAAGGGATTGCTGCAGAGTTTCTTTCATCAACAAAAACGGCAGATGCAAAAAACAAGGTGGGTTATTAGAATACTGCTGATATTTTATTGTAAATAACATATCTTCATATGAAATAGAAGTGTAGTTACTATAATCAGTGGATAATCTTAGCCTCACTACTCTTTGCTTAGTTCCCGGGATTTATATTAGAGTAAGTTTGGACTTTTGATTATTTAAAATGATAATATATCTAGTATATTCATGCTTCTCAATGAAACTGCTAGAATTCCTGGATATCTTGCCCGAACCTCATTATTGTGCTACTGACCTAGAATTATAAAGTTTAGCCCTTGTTTTGTTTGGGAGTAGGGGAAGTATCCAGTTCAAATACACTTATGTGAATGTGTAGCCAATTTCTCACTTGTTCGGTGTTATTAATTTAGGAAACTGATTCTTCTGTTTTATATTTTAAGATTCACGAGGACCTTGATTCTGGAAAACCGTCAACAAGGCTGCTATATGTGACTCCAGAGTTGATAGCAACCCCAGGGTTTATGTCAAAGCTGAAAAAGATTTATTCCAGGGGGTTGCTAAGTCTCATTGCAATTGACGAGGTCTACTTGGAAAGACTATTCCAAGTTTTTGTTTCTGTTGGATTTCTATGATCATCCTTACTAATTCGTTTATGCACAAATTTCAGGCACATTGCATCTCTTCTTGGGGTCATGATTTCAGGTTTTTCATTCATTATTCTACAATTTCTCTGGCCATTTGAATTTTTCTTGATTCCTCAGGATCCGACAAATATGATATTAATAACAGACGATAGTTCATGGTGGAATGGAAATCCTAACATCCACTATGACAATATAGCATAAGCAGTACAATGGTTGTGTGTGTGCAACCTTTGACAACTGGTCGAAAAGGTCCAGAACTAGGCTCATTACCGAACCAGTACTAACATCACTTGTCAATTTGTCACTAGATGAAAAACTATTACACTTGAATCACTTGATAACTTTTGGTAGAATATAAAATTAGTAAATCCGGTCATCAAATCACATGATTATATCTTTGTGATCATACATATCACGTTTTCAATGATTTGGACTGTTATTTATTCTAATAGTGAATATTTTAAGTTACTTACCTATATTTTAAAATGTATTGTACATTAAAAGTATATATGATGATACCATATCAATTAGTTTTTGATTTATGTGAACTTTTATGAATTTGAAATACCTCACCAGAACTTTTAATCCAATAGTTGGATTGCTTGTCCTACAAAAAGTTATTAAATAGTTAAGTGGTACAAGTGTAATATTGTTATGAGTGTAAAAGTTTGACATTTAGTGTCAAACTGTCAATTGAACAAAGAGGAAAAAGTCATATTGGAAGAAATAAATGGGACAAAACAAATAGGGAAATAGAGATAGACAGAGGAATAGAGAAAAGGGAATGATATACAGAGATTGAGACTTAGAAAATAAGGAAAAGAGGAAGAGAATGTGACAATTATCAGAGATCTGTAGTTTGCCATAAATGGGTCATTTGCAAGAGAAGGGCAATATGGCTGAAATGGTAGAAGAGATATGGGAGATGCTAAGTGAGAGTTTGAGGGATTGTGCAAGAGCATAGATATGAGAATGAGAATAAACAACAGCGCGAGAGTGAGGACTGAGACATGTGGTTTTCTATTAGGGATTGGTTGGTCAATAAATTGTGCTGGGTCATTATGGACTTGAAATGTCATCCAGATTTAAAACAGGACGCTGATGCCCATCTGTTTACTTTTTGTTATTTTTAGGCGATTCTGATATAATCTTGTTCACCAACTCATCTCAATCATTTATTATTAAATATTATATTTAATAGTGAAAACGCGCTCACTTACACATGCCACAGTTTTGCACTTGTTAGGCTTTTCCCTTGAAATAACTGGTCTAAAAGGTCAAGTTTTCATGTGATGACACAGTTTTACATGGAGTTTATTCTGATGACATGCTATTCCCGTTTCCTTTTGTATTTGAGGTCAGACCTAGCTACCGTAAGCTTTCAATTCTGAGAAGCCACCTACCAGATGTACCAATATTAGCTCTGACTGCTACTGCTGTTCCTAAGTAAGTTTTCTCAATTTACTTTCTTTTAAAGAATTCACTTTAACTTTTGTGCATGAACAATTTTCATATGCAATCCTATGTCTATGTATTTCTATTCTACCTATTCGTCTGAAAAATAATATTCCAATTGTTGTGGATTTCTGAAATTTCTATTCTCTTATTAGTGGTGTGTATTTAGTTATGTCGGTTATGTGTGTGTATAGAATTTTATGATAATATTGGTTTAACATATTCATTTACAAAGAGTATGCTCTGTTTATCACTATAATAGTTGCACATTCTGAGTAGTATTTTTGAAGCAGGCATGCTCTTTTATATTCTTCCTTTCTTCAGGGTACAGAAGGATGTAGTGAACTCCTTGCAGATGCAAAATGCATTAATGTTAAAGACTTCTTTTAATCGTCCTAATATATATTATGAAGGTCAGTCCTGCTTGCAGCTTGATTCAAAGCTATAAATAAATTCAGATTTCATTTTCAGCTTGCTTGGTCATAATTTCCATATCAGTAATGGAAAACCATCACTTTCCTCTCAAATGTAATATGGTGTGTACACAAATAATAAACCAGTTCAGTCATTATATAAATACTTCATGCTAACTTACATTTGGTGATGAAGATGCTATGAAAGAGACAGAAGAAAACAAAAACCTTACAAGTTAATTCCTATTTTTGAAAAACGAAGATTTCCATTAAAATAGATAAGATGCAAATATAAACATTTTTGAAGAAATCCTTCCAATTCCATTCCAGTCAATTTAGGGCTTGTTTGAATATTCCACTAACTGAGTTTTGTTGGTGAATTGATTTATATGTTAATTTTGCATGAGATGCAGGTATGCAATTATATATAAATTCAAACAAATCTAACTAGATGTTTTCATGATACAGTTAGATATAAAGATCTACTGGAAGATGCTTATGCTGATTTATCTGATACACTCAAATCTATGGGAGATGTCTGTGCGATAATTTATTGCCTTGAACGTTCCATGTGTGATGACTTGTCAGCTCATCTATCTCAAAGCGGCATTTCTTGTGCTGGTGATATGTTACTGCAACTATCTGGACCTAGAATATATGTAAATCTGTTGCATTATAATATACTAATACTAAAAACATACTATAATAAAAGTGTACCTTATAATAGTTCTGTACAGGTTTTATATTTTGAAAACATTGATGATTTCCTTATTTCATCACTATCAAGTTCTCTAAGTAACCAAACAATCATTCAACCCGTAGGATAAGAATTACAAAATGAGAGAAAATAAGAATGAGAAGAGAGACACGTAAGATACAAGTGAAAAGAACAAAATGAAATAAATAAAATAAATTTATGTCCAGTGAATGCTTAGTAAAGAAGTAAGGACTAAACTTTTTAAAGTAGGGAACAAGATTGTAAGTCATACTTTTTTAAACCACAAAAAATGTAATGTGTACAATGAATATGGAAATAATGTGGGATAAGAAATTGAGGGGCATTAAAAATAATATTGTCAAATATTGCGAGCAACTAATACACATTATAAGTGTAATACTAAGCCAAACTAAAATAAAATCATTGTGGCTGAAGCTTCCCCACAATCCTATAAGTTGATCCATCCTTTGATTTAACATTTGCAATATTCATAATATTCTGGTCTTTCCAGCTTATCATGCAGGACTGAATAATAAAATGCGAACTTCCGTGCTAGATGATTGGATTTCTTCAAAAACAAAAGTAGTTGTTGCCACTGTTGCTTTTGGGTATGTTTTCCCTTTTAGTTTTTGTATACCTCTCCAATTTATGTTGCCAATCCTGGTTGAGGATATTTACTCTATACTGTATTTGAAAATGCTTTAACATTGGCATGAGTGATGTGGAACACTTGCCAAGTGACCTTCTAATACTGTAGAATACAATGTTTTCCCTGGTGCAGTTGAAGTATTTTTTGTTCTAGCACTTTCATTTCAATAGAATCAAAACTAAGGGAGGATGTGACCCACATCACTAATGTTTTTAGCTTTTAACTTAGATCTTTCTCTATTCAATAGAATCAATGGAGATGTCGATATTGTTACCTGCCCTCATAAGTGAATACTTTGTGAACAGCACTGTTAACAGTTGTAATTATCTAGATTTTGTCCCATTGAAGTAGAATTCTGTGAGTGTAGCCTGCGGTAGTCACTTACATGAAGACATTTGGTCCACCACTCTTGCACTTACACAAATGTATCAAAGATATAAGTATATGTACAACATCTTTTAATTTTATTCTGATGCCTTTAACTTATGAATTATTTGTGATTGTGATGTATTTTTTTTTCTGTACTCTGCATGGAGCGTTTCTATTGCATACCATTACTGAGCCTTTGGTGTTTGTTCAGGATGGTAAGTGGCCGTTTATTATAAATTTTGATTCAACCTTCTATAAGAAGTTGTAATGTTATAATCGTTTTATACTTATGTTATTTGCTATTAATAGATTAAGATCACATTACTAGGGCATTGATAGAAAGGATGTGAGGATTGTGTGCCACTTCAATATTCCGAAGTCAATGGAAGCATTCTATCAAGAGTCAGGTAGAGCTGGTCGTGATCAGTTGCCCTCTACAAGTCTCTTGTACTACGGAGTAGATGATCGCAAAAGAATGGTTGACTAACTTAAATGGATGCTTTGATCTTAATTTCTTATAGGACTTGTTTTCTCATACTATGATCTATTTCAGGAATTTATACTAAGAAACTCGGGTAGCAAGAAGGCAAAATCATCAAACTCACAAGAAGAATCAACCAGAATAACCCTAACTGCTTTCAATCAGGTAGCATATAAATCATTGCATGCTTCTTTTGACATGGTATCTATGAATGCCATTATGCATTTAAGTAATGGAATCTTTATGTAAAATATGTAGATGATTGAATATTGTGAAGGATCTGAATGTCGTAGGAAAAGGATTCTAGAGAGTTTTGGAGAGCAGGTAATGAAATATACAGCTCTAGGTATTATGTGGTGTGATTCATATTGACACAAGGGGATATTTTAATTTGTTCCAAACAGGTAACGGCATCACTATGTGGAAAAACATGTGACTCCTGTAGACACCCAAACTTAGTTGCCAGAAATTTGGAGGATCTCACTGCTGCCTGTTCTCTACGCCAGAAAGGAGGTTCTCGAGTTTTCATCACCAGGTAAAAGAACCCCATGCATTAGAAGTTTAACTTAAAGTTGATAAACCGGAAAACTTATTGGGAGTAAATGACCTGCAGTTATGTGTATATATATTACTTCCACACTGTCTTAGGAGATTAGAAAACAATTTCCGCCAAGAAGATTGTGTGCTGAACTGTTAATTAGCTTGGTGGTGATTTCGTCATGCTAAATTAATTAATCCAGTTAAATAATGCCTAGTTTTCTTGTTTATCTACCACTTTAATTTTTCAGTTCCTCTGATGCAATTGTTGGAGAACAGTTATCTGAATTCTGGAATCGAGATGAGGAAGCAAGTGGATCAGAGGAAGATATCTCTGACTTAGATGGTAGTACAAATTTTATTTCAATTGCATTTGTTTACTGTTGGGGTGATGGAGTGGTTAGTAGATTGAATGTTGGTGAATTTTCGTTGGCAGAGGGTAATGAGGTTGTCAACAATCTAGCCCGGTCAAAGCTTCAATCCAGAGTGGGAATAAATGAAAAGCTTGATTTGCTACAGAGGGCAGAAGAAAAGTACTATCGAAATGAGAACACCAATAAACAGGTTCGTTTTTATGCATTATACCCATCCTGTTGAAAAAAGCACGTGCTCCATTTTGCTCTATGCCTCATTATATTTCCCATGGTTATATCTTTTGGCTGACACCAAACAGAACTTGTTATGATTTGCAATCTGTAATTGGAAATGTATAATAATTTATTTCCAAGTGTCTTCTTATTTATATTCCTAGCAAAGTACTGTTAAGATCAATGCAGCAGAAATTGTTACGCCGCCCCTATCTTCCCTTCTTCATACTCAATTTATTTAACATGATTTACAGAGCAATAAAGTGGACAAGAATGCTATTTCTGATGCATTACGAGGGGCAAGCAGGCAGAGATTACAAAATGCTTTAAAACAGGCTCAGGAACGGCTTGGCGACTCTAAGTATGTACAACGTCCTTTTGCTAGTTTGAGTTCTTTCATATCACACCTCAGTCTGCGCACAACAGGAAAACCACCCACTTGAAATTTCTCAATATTTCTTAATTTAAAACATTTATTCAGGATTGAAATGGAAGCTTCGGCATCTCTTCTCGAAGATGAATGTTACAAGAAATATGGCAAGACTGGCAAATCATTCTATTATTCCCAAGTGGCAAGTACTATCAGGTGGTTGACAACTACAAATTCCGACAATCTAATGAACCGACTTCATGCAGTTGATGTTTCCTCATCATTGAATGTCATCTCTGAAGTTGAACATTCCCTCACACCACCACCCGCTTCAGCTCCTTGTGCAAAAGAAGAAACTAACAATGAGGTCTCCGGCAGTGCTGTGACAGAAATAATCCCATCTGATATGCCAATGGAAAATTCTTTTAATACAAACTTGCCACCAATACCATCCTTCTCTGAATTCGTAAACAGTAGGAAAGCAAAAAGGGACCAATCAGGTGACACAAAAAAACACTCATCAAGGGTAGAAAAGAAGATGAGGATACAGTAGATTAACTCTTGCATGTACTATTACTGTTTGAATTTTAGTTATAATATGCATGAAGTGCCTACTTTGGGTGATTTCAGAAATACTCTAGTTTCATTTTTCACTCAAGTGATGAGGCATCTTATTGATTGCCTGTCTTATTTTTCTGATACTAATTTTACATTTATGATTCTTCAGATCATTGACACAGAAACTTAAATTACATGGATAATATTCTATGAGATGTGCTTGGTCTAAACCATATACATCAATACACCAGATCTGAATTCTGAACAACACTAGTTTACACCCAACAGTGGAAATTTCCCAACAAAGTCAGTATTAAGACTACCTAGGTAAAGATGGTCCTCAAACTCCACAGCTGAAGTTAAAAAACTAATCACCTTCCCCTCATTATCACCAAAGCTTCTGATAATATTGCCTTCAGTTCCAACATTTACCACCTTTGCTGACTTCGTCGCGCCATTGATCAGATTAAATAGCCATGGAAATGAAGCTACTAAGTGCTTGGACACCTTAGATGTGTGCATAAACCCCAGTCTTTCAGAAGTAAATTGCTACATCAATATTGAAGAAAAACAAGTCACCATCATGCCTTATTTAGTATATTTATTCAAAATGTTTCTTAGATTAAATTTAATTTTCTGGTATTATAGAGTTTATTTAGTATTACTTGAACCAAAGCGATCCAAAATGAGCCATCAGGAGCAAGATTGATATTGTCAGGTCCACCAGGGAGGTTTTCAATGAAGATATCTGTTTTGCCTTTGTTAATTCCTTTTAGCCAATGCCTCAAACACCTATATCTGGTTCACATAAAACAACAAAATCAATAGTAGTTTATATTTCTAGACAACATAAACATCTCTAATGACATGAAATGTATGCTTACTTCCAACTTTCGCAAACCACAACATAATCTTCATCCTTAGACAGTGCAACACCATTTGCAAAAGCCAAATCATCAAGAACAATAACTGTCTCATTTGACACAGGATTATACTTCAAAAGTTTTCCATGAGGTCTTGCCTCAAGCACATCAAGATGCCAATTGTGTAAACCAAATTTGGTACTGGCAACACTGAAATATATATTTCCATCTGATGTCTCTATTACATCATCTGCAAACCTAATTAACATAAAAAAAAAATCATAAATATAGCTTAAAAAAAACTCAATGGACGTTAAAGTCAATTACGTGTAAAAACCTCTATTCTAAGTGTGTGGACAAGGTCGTTTAAGAGCTAAAAGGAAACAAAACTTGAAGTAATAGTGGAATAGGACCAATCTTGGATTTTATCACACTGTTACATATCATTATCACGAGTAGGATGTGCTAATAGTCACAATATTTTAAGGCATGAAAGAATCTTCTTAACTTTATCTCACTAGTGGCAAGAATTTGGATCAATATTTCAAAATCCTGATCCGTTAAAGACATTCAAAGAATTATTGGTTTAACTCAATAGAATAAAATTAAATCATTCTATTACATTGGGTTAGAGTGAATGATTTGTCTCTTAAAATAAAAAACTATGACACATTAACCAATATAAATAATTAGTTTTAATGTTTTTTTTTCTTCTGAATTAAAATAAATAAATAAAAAATATAGTAGACTAAATTGATTGTCTATATTTATAAAAGAAGTTCAGTTTTTATTTTTCCGTGCACAAAGATAAAGGTTCTATTGATGTCTCTATTTCTTTACTACTTTTATAATATTTAGTTTTAATTTATTTTTTATTTTAAAGTTTCATAATTTTTTTTAAAACGTAATCGTATTAATTTTCAAAATAACAACCATTAATCTTTCGTTTATAAAATCTCTGGTTTATCTTTATTTTTATATTTCAAATTTGACTAATTCACACTAATTCCCATATCTAATAGCCAATTTCGACCAATTATTTCTTGGGTTAGTGATTATTATTTTTTGAATACCACAATAATATATTAATAAATAAATGATAACTATCAAAATGCAAATAATTTCAAAGTACAAGAGTACCTAAAAACCTAATAAAAACACAAATAAGAATCTCAACAAGAATAAAAATACCACAACCAACTAAATAATAAAAATAACATTTAAGATTCCCTCCATCCTACAATTAGTGATTCAATTGATTTTTTCACCCAAATTAAAAAAAAATAATAAATGAATGAGAAAAAAAATAATATTTTTATTAAAGCATCTTTATCATGTATTAAGAATAATAAAAATAATATTAATTAAAAAATAAAATTAGAAAATATACTTTAAAAATTAAAATGAGTCATTCACTTTAAAATATTATTTTATTTCAAATGAATTACTATTGTAAGACGAAGAGAGTAACTAAAGACCAATCATAGAATTAGATCTCATACAGCTAGAACCACAATCAAGACATCACAATCACCAATAGAACAATAAAGTCATAAATCATTACCTGCCCGCAATAGAGAACGGGTCCTCCGCCTCCGTCCCACCCGCAAAAACTAATATTTTAAAAATAAATATTTTTTTTATAATAATAAAAATTAATAATTTAATTAAATACTTAATTATTTTAATAAGAAACATGTTTTCAAAGAGTAAAATAACTCTAATAAATATGTTTTTAAAAAGTAAAATAATTCTAATAAAATTATTTTTAAAAATTAAAATAACTATAATAAATGTATAATAAAATAATTAAAAAGAGGCATTAAAGTAAATTAAAATAGACCGGGACGGGGGTGGATAGTAGTATCCCCGCCCTTGCACCCGTAATAAAAAAACTGGGTTTTACCCGCACCAGTTAAATTGAATTTCTCTCATTAATATTGAGGCGGATTCGAGCGGATCTGGACGAGTCTGCGTTTCCTTGCCATGTCTAATCCTAAGAGAGAATAACAACTCTTAGCATAGAAAAAGATTTTCAAACACAAGTAACTCTCTGAAAATAAGGGGTCTCCACATAAAATCCAAAGCCATGTTCCTGTTATCCACCAGACCGATCTCTCCCACCAGCCCATTTAATTGAATGGAGTTAGAGAACAAACCAAAAAATTTAAACTTGAAGAGAATGAATTCTAACTAAGAGTCATTCTAAAAGGAAGTCCGGAGGATCAACTCTATTTTCCTAAAGATATAATCAACAAACCAAGTAGAATTCCTCTTTAGACGCTAGGAGAGAGATACGTTTCCACCAAATATATATAGATCAGAACCTCAATATCCTTCCCTCGAAGAAAGAACACGACTGGAGCACCATATCTGCCTACAAGAATATCATACCGCGAACTTGAAGTACATGTAAACAACCATCATCTTTATTTAGCCACAAATTTTAGATTAAAAACCGAAGATGTCTAATCCCCTACCCCTTTTTACTCTTAGTTTACAAATGTCATCTCATTTAATATAAAAAATCTTAATTACTCCTTTAAGAAAAAACCTTTTCTAAAATCTAAAATTACTGAAAGATGATAATCTAAAACCATTTTTTTTTGGTTATATTTGTAACAAATATTGTGCTAATTAATTTTTTTTTAAGTTCCATGTAATATTAATTATTGTTTTTTAATTTATTTTAAATTATTTACTACATGAAAAAAATAGATTAAATAAATTAAAAATAAATATGAGAAAAAACAAAGAAACAAGATAATGAAGTAAAACTCACAGTAATTGAGAACCATTAACTTGTGAAAGGATAACACTGAAACCATCTTCTTCTGTAACCTTCAGCAATCCCTGCTAATACATAATTATTTGTTATTCAATCATGCATGCACCATTAATATATACTTGTTGCAATTCAATAGATACATGAATTATATACAGTTCTTACCAAGGTAGCATCACAGACAATGAGACCACCATCTTTTGCAGTTGTGATTCCAAGCAAAGAAGAACTATCTATATGCTTCCAGTTCTCCCAATTTCCATTCCTAACCAATCTCTTAATCCAACCATCTCGTGTAGCTGTATACAAAACACCATCTTTATCCACACAGACATCTTCTGGTTGCTTCAAAAATCCTTCTCCAAGTTTAATCAAATTCTGTTCAAGAGATTACGGTTAATACATCAGAAAACGATAATCAGTTCATGTAATTAGTATTATTTTCACCTGTAATTGGTTGTTTTTGGATGAAGATACAGAAGATGTTGGTTGAAACAAAAGTGGATCTATGGGGGAGAAGTAGAAGACTTGAACTGTGAGAGCAACAAAAGCTGCTAGAACCAAGGTTGATGTCAGTGTTACACAATGGTTTCCAGTGGTGAGAGGAAGATTATTCATATTAGAAGCCATGCTCTTGGACCCGTTCCGCTCTTCTATTTTTATACACCTATAGATGTAAACTTGGTTTCTTCCCACTTAACCATACATTCCTAAATATATTTTAACCATCACCGAAGAGGACACACAAATTTATACATGACCTTTTTTTCCTTAGTTGAGGCATGACTTTTTTTTCATAGCCTCAATATCCTAGACAAAGTCTTTGTGCAACCTTCCACATTTCCCATTACTTGTACCTATTTTAGCATTAAGGACTCTGATAGTAGCGACAATGCCTTATGACATCAACGTTTAGGACATCCTCTAATGAGGTTTTACACACAATGTCTCAACATTTTTTTATTATCAAACATAATAAGATTTCTTCTTATCATACTTTTCATTTGGCTAAGCAAAGTATGTTACCTTTTCCTATAAATACCTCTACTTCTACTAATTGTTTTGATTTAGTGCATATGGAGATATATGGGGTCCTATCTCCTTTGCTTCTATGGATGATTTTCACTATTTTTTAACCATTGTTAGATGATTTTTCTCGTTATATTTAGACTTTACTCATGAATAATAAGTATGAAACTAGAATGCATATTAAAAATTTCATTGTCTATTGTCAAACTCAATTTTTCTGTAAAATCAATCATTAGAAGTGATAAAGGTACTAAATTCCTCATGCCTTCATACTATGCTTCCCTAGGGATATTGCACCAAAGGAGTTGTGTGGAAAATTCACAACAAAACTCTATTATGGAAAGAAAGCATAGGCATCTCCTTAATGTTATTCGATGTCTTCTTTTTCATGCTCAATTGCCTAAACGTTTTTGGTCATTTTCTTTATGTCATGCTACTTATTTGATTAATAGACTAAGTAGTCCTTCCATACAAAATAGTACACCTTTTGAGCTGCATTTTAACACACTTCCATCTTATACCGAACTTAAGACATTTGATTGCTTAGCCTATGCTTCTACGCCTATGAGACATAGAGACAAATTGGATCATAGAGCCAACAAGTGCTTATTTTTAAAGGCTACTTATTATTTGATTTAAACACCAGATCAACCTTCATTTCCAAAAATTGTGTTTATCATGAGCATACATTCCCTTACACACCTCACCCTCCTAACAACCAAGACACTGCATCCAACTTAGAAAATGATACTTCTACCATCCCTTTCCTTTTTTTTTTATCATCTATCTCCTGTGAATTATCCAAACACTCATGAACATGAACAATCTCAACCTCATTCCAAAGCTTCCCCTAACTCTCATATCACCCATCAACATATCTCTCATATCCCTACAACCAATCCTTCTCATGACCACATAGATAACTCTGCTCATAATAGCCCCATCAATCTCACAACTATTAGGATATCTACCAGACTAAAATCTGTCCCTGCATATTTACAAGATTTTATCTCTCATGCATCTTAGTCCTCTATTCCATATGACATCTCTAATACTCTCATCTTTCACCTGTACTTTTTTCTTATATTTCTGTTGTTACTACAACTTGCGACCCTGTTAATTACAAGCAAGTCAGTCTTTATCATCATTGGATTAAGGCCATGAATGATGAAATATAGGCGTTAACGGACAATAACACTTGGACATCCACTACTTTACCTCAAGGTAAGAAATCTATAAGGTGTAAATGAGTCTATAAGACCAAGTTTCATTCCATTGAAACTATAGAAAGACATAAAGCAAGGTTCGTGGTACAAGGCTTCAATCAAATTCAAGGTATTGACTATTTTGATACATTTTCTCTTGTTGCTAAATTGACCACTGTAAGATTGATCCTTACTCTTGCTTCTTCTTTAAATTTGCATTTTTTTCAACTTGATGTTCATAATGCTTTCCTTATTGGAGATTTGGATGAGGAAGTCTATATGTCTTTATCTAAAGGAATCACGCCTTCTTATCCAAATAAAAGTGTAAACTCCTCAAATCAATTTATGCTTTAAAATAATCGAGCATGCAATGGTTTGAGAAGCTTTCCACGGTCTTACTCACTAATAATTTCAAACAGTGTTTCTTTGATCACTCATTATTTATATCCACACCCAAACATCATTTCACATTTATTCTGATATATGTTGATGATATTTTGCTTGCATGAAATAATTCAGACATCATTAATCATACAAAACACATTTTACAAACTCGTTTTCACATCAAAGAACTTGGTACATTGAAGTATTTCTTAGGACTGAAAGTGGCACACAACAATAATGACATCAACATCTGTCAAAGGAAGTATACACTTGATCTTCTTATAACTACTAACTTACTTGGTTGCACGCCTGCCTCCACTCCAATGACACCATCTTCTAAAGAACAACATGAACTTATGAGAGGTATTAATTTGATCACCCACCTTAGTGTTAGAATGATGATACATGCTTCCAATGACGATTTTGAACCATACCCTTAAGATATCTTCAATCTCTTTGAAGTTTAAAGCCAACGCTACCATTTCATCTTGTTTAGATTTAGGTTTGATAAAAGCAACTTTATCCCCTTTAACAATATGAGAGATGAATTTAGCGATGATCTTCTCTGTAATTTAAAGTTTTATGCTAAGGAAGTAAAAAATAACCTTTTATTTTTCAGCCTCCGCATGATTAAAAAAATCTTCAACAAGGACTAGAAAAATAGGACCTCTCAGTCTTTCAAACAAAGCATTTCAGCCTTGAAGTTCAAGCGTCCCAGTAAGATCAAAACCATTATCTTTTAGATTTTTAAAATCAACAATAGTTTTACAAAGCACAGAGAGGTCTTCAGTTGAAGTGTCGAGAGTGACAAAGGACGAAACTTGTTGTTGAGGTTGTTGAGAATGTTGAGATGATTCATCTATTATATACGGTTGAGAGTTGAAAGTTGAGTGTTGAAGATGAACAGTTGCAGAGAGTGGTTTAGGGTTTGAAAGAGAGAAAAATGTGGGAGTAATGTGAGCGTAGTGTAAAATGTGAGTGAAGTGGGTTTATAAACGTTTTAAAGAAATAAATAAATAAATAAATTAAACATGATTACAAACAGTACACACGCAGTCATAAGGGGAAGGCGTAAAGATTTAAACATATTTTCAAGAAAAATACGAAACCCAATATGTCACGTCATCAATACGCATGTTCAGGAAGTGAGACATTTGTCACCACTTAAGACCACACGTTATCAAATGAAAATACAACCATTAATATTGTAACTGTTCATAATCCAGAAGATAAATCGATAGGATTTCCTTCTGAACAGAACCTTTGTGATTCATGAAACTTCCTTGCTTTAAAAAGCTCATGTTTTAGAAACAAACAAACAACAACACAACCTCAGAACCTTAATCAAGAATTCTGATAAGCTGAACATTCTGAAAAACATCATTTCATTCTGGATAAGGTTTTATAAACATATTTTTCAGAATGAAAGCAAATCTATCTTCAACAAGAGGTTTAGTGAAAATATCAGCCCACTGGTGGTCTGCATCAACAAATTTTAAATTAAAATTACCCTTCTGAACATAGTCACGTAGAAAATGATGTTTAATTTCAATATGTTTAGCCCTATGATGCAAGATAGGATTCTTGGATAAACAAATAGAAAAAGTGTTATCACAGAAGATAGGAATGTTACTGTGAGGGCAAACCCTCATATAACATACATACTTGAGTTTCGATGATAACAAAACGCGATCATGAATGAACCGGTTTTCTCGACTCTACCTCTACAACAAATGCAATATTTCACCTCTCATATCCTTCTTATATCCATCTAACGTGTCATATTAAATTCAATATATATGGGAGACCAGTGATTATGACTAGATGCATAAAAACCACAAAAATATGTATTTTTGCAGTTTTTTAGGGTTTGAGTCAACCACAGGTCGACGCATGGTCGACGCATGGATTAGTGCAAAAAGCCACGGGTCGGTGCACGTCGACCTATGGCCGACGCATACTGTGAAGACTTTTCAATTTGCCTAAATCTGCAGGCTATGCGTCGACGCATAGTCCTGCTATGGTCGACCGTTAGCTCGTTTATGCTGTTGCTGAAGACTTTCCACTTTGAGTGAAAAGCTGTTATGTTTGTTGGCTTGTTGGTTACTATATATAGATGTTTTATGTTCATTTCTTAACAACAATTGAAATTTTGAGTCAATTTTACAAGAACAAGAAAAGTGAAATAGATGCTATCAAATCTCTTCATCTTCATCTTCAACAGTTCACAACACCACAATTACACACAACAATTCTTGCTGTGCTTTGTGGTTTTGTTCAAGGTGATAAGGTCCGAAGCCGTCGATTGGGAATCCGGTTCGAGTTGAGTTTGTGGCAGGTTTTTCTTGAATAAAACCTTGAAGGTTTTGTCCTCCAAGATTCAGAGAATTTAGGAGGTTTTTGGTACGGATCGTCTCTACCAACTTTCAGCTGAGCGAAGGTGATTGAGAAGCGGAAGGTTTCGTCAATCTAGTAGCGGGAATCAGTGAAGTGTGCAAGCGAGTTCCAAGTTCGATTTGCGTGTGTTTGAGATCAGTCGGGGCAAGGGTTTGAAGAACGAAAGGTTATTCAACAAAGGGGCTAGAATCGGAGGTCTACTCACAACGATCGAAGAACTTGATTCGACTCGAATCAAGGAAAAATGAGAGAAAACATCATCAACATCAAGAGAGCTTGTTTGTATATTTTGCTTGTCTATCCTTGTATAAACATTTCAACTCTACAGGTGATATCTATTATATTGAGCTCAATTCTAGTTTCATAATTGAGGGAAGACGTACCCCGAAGCGAGGACGGCGGGGGAACTGCCTCAACAAGTCCTTGTCTCCTTTACTTTTCTGCACTTACATTTTTTTGCTTTAAAATTGAGTAATTTTAGTATCAACAATTTTATCGAAATTAGTATTCGATTGAGTAAGTGCTTGTCACTGTTTTGAACTCTAGTATAATAATATATTGTACAAGGAATCTAGAGTTACTTACTCAAGTCAAAACTCACTTGGAGTGCCTCGC